CCCCCCCCCCCCCCCCCCCCCCCCCCTCAAAAAGTACAAAGCCTGAACACTTTAGATGGATGATGTGGAAATCTATTCCAGTATCTGATTATTCTAAAGCTTCCCTGAAAGATGATTTGCTTGTCAGACTTTGAATTGTGTTGGAAGCCAAAACTTGTTGATGTCCGTCCTCCTGTCCTGAATCACAGCAACGGACAAAGCTTTTCAAAAGGTTTCTTAAAGATTGGTCTTCACGACCACTTTTCAACAGATGCTCAGAAATCGTAGCAAATATATACTCGGTAAATTCAAATAGTATTAAAAAAATCTCTGTTGAATTTCTGTTATGTAGTATAAAACTAGAACCAATTAGCTTATTAGATGGTGCAGAGACAATTGGAATTAAGTAGGAAGTTGTCTGTTGGCAGGTGTCTCTACAACGACACCCCTCAGTCATTGGGAATGATCAAGTCCTATTCTCCCATTGTGTCTCCTGTTACCCCAAATCTGTCTGCTCGAGGGACTTTTAGAATTATTCATCCATCCCTTTCTTCTCCTGTTCACAAGTATAGTTGTAGAGAAGCAGCTCTAATGTCCTGTTATCCATATTGGCTTATCTTCACCGTCTTATTAAAACGTTTTTAGTCGGCAACTGACACCCGATGAAGCCGTGTCAAAAGACCAATGATGTGACTGCGATCACGAGCCCTCGCCACCTAAAGATGCGTTTACTTCTCTTATTGGTGAAAAGCAGAGATCGTTTGCATTGTGTCGCGCATAAAGTAGCACAAAATGGTGAACGAATGATTTAAAATGTAACTTTCCTCAACCTGTGAAAAGAAAGTTTTGCTTCAGTTGGTGTGAGATGAACGTTGGGACATCAGATAAACGACAGAAGATGCAAGTCAAAGTGTTTCAGTGTTGCTGATTGTCATCATCAGGATCTAAATACTTGGTCTATATTAAAGTGTTTTTTATGGGATAAAAGAAGACATTCAGAATTAAGGTGCTGAAAGTGAGTAAAGAATACTTGAAATGAGTCTTGATTTGTTACGTTACACAGTAATCATGATTTGTAACATCTGTTTCTGATGCAGCCAGAGATGGTGTGCAGTTGACATTTTTTAAAATCTCTTTGGCATCACAGCATCCTACAGATCCATTGACTGAATGAGGAACGGTGACAGTGCATTTATTAACCATTATCGTAACATCCTGTCCCCTACAGCCCCATGTCGTACAGCAGCAGTCCCCAGCAGCCGAGCCCTGTCACCATGTCCATGGTGAAGGCAGAACCGGTGTCCCACTCACCTCCGACGGGGACGCCCAACCACCACCGGGGCCCTCTGCAGGGAGACCTCAGGGACATGATCAGCATGTACATCCCTGGACCAGGGGGGGATGCCGGCGACCCCTCAGCAGCACAGAGGGGCTACACCAGCGTCCAGCAGCACTACCTCTCCGGAACCGTCCCACTCACACACATCTAGGACTTGAAGTGGGAGTCACGGGGGTAGTGGTGGGGCGGGGGGGGGGGACCTGAGTGGGAGGACCAGAAATGCTCACGGTGCACAACTGGCTGTACAGGAGATGGGAGTCGGTGTGGGGGACTTTATAGACGGGCAAAGAGACACAAAGAGACGTGACGGAACAAACGCAGTTCCCAGACACAACTCTATTTTGATTCATTGAAAAGCTGTTTTTCTACCTCTTTGGTGCCACACAAGTTAAGATAAATGCCACACACACCCACCACACGTACAGAGCGGAGACTCCTCCCTGCCCCACCTGCCTCCAGCAGACTTCTCTCCACGAAGGACTGCAGTGAAGACCAAGCCCACGTCTGTTTATTGTGTACATATGAGGAAATGTTCTGTCTTTTTCTGTCTTCTTGTCTTTTTATATTTTAGAAACTTATCCATTAGAAGTCAAAAGACTCCTCTTTTTTTTATTTTTTAAATACCACTTTAAAACACTTGTGACAGTGGCACTCATGACGGCTCCACCATACCCAGTCGGTGCCGGGTAGCTGGTTTATTTGCCTGCTGTCCACAGCACAGGGACTAAAGCGACCTGGCAGCCCGGTCGGTGGATCACAATCGCTCAGCTGGTGACGGACAAATCACCCGAGCTGAATCGCTCTGGTTGTTGTTGGTTGTTGCTGCCCTGATGCGTGAGCGGAGCTAGAGAGCAGCCGGGTGCCGGTGGGGATAAAGGGAAGGAAATGCACAACTTGAATGAAAGAGCTTTTTTTGGGGTGGGGGGGTGGGTTAAATGAACTCTTTGTACCTTGGATTTGGTTTTAGTACTCTTGTATTTTATTTTGAACTGATGAGATCTTGTTGGATGACACGGAAACCACCTGTTGGGACAATCAGCACTGCATCCACAGGAATAAACGGAACACACTGGCCTCTGCGATGCGTGGTGTCGCTTTAGAACGTAGAACCGGGCTGGTTCTAAACATTTCAGTCAGGTCTAGTGTCCCCAGTCTCTCCGCGTCACTGGATTTATTGTCTGGGAAAGAGGTGACACTGTTATTTGCTGCCTTTTGAGTTTTATTTGCTATAATTAGTTTTTAGAGTTGATATTTTTGACGTTATTGTTCAGAGGCGTTGTTCTGGCAGCATCCTGAGTCGCTCTGTGTATTCATTGTCACTTTGCTCTAGGCAAGAGTTGTATTGTTTTATAGGCTTTTCAGTAAGTGAATGAAATTTGATATGAAATGCTACAGTTCAGTGGTTTTATTCCAAAATAACAGATTAAGATTTACACATTCTGTCTTCCACCAAGTAAACTGGATTGACAGAAGGCCTACCAGGCATGTGTTTAACTCCCAGTGAAGAGAATGTATCCGAGTGAGTTTCAGATTAAATCTCCAGCAAATGTTTTTCAGATATTTACCTGATGGTAATTCTATCAATCTCTAGAAATGCGTGCTTTTAATCCTGGTTCTCTCAAACCGACAGTCCTGTTATTTCTTTGTTCTCCTGTCTAGCATGCTGTCTGGTTATAGTGCTGCTATGGACCTAAAGGGAACTTTTACTTTCAGACTCCAGAGAAACACTGTGAATATTGAATGTGGTAGATTATTCCAACTGTTTAACTTTGAAGCATTCCATTACTAACTCGACATGCACTGGAAACGGATGCCTTACTTATCTTTTTGACAAAGGGAGAGCGGTTTTATTAAAGTAATGCCTGAATGTTTACATTGTTACCCGAGTGTTTTAACTTTTTTACTGACTTGTATCTCTATTTTTTAGAATGAATTCTCTTGTATGTAAATGCTGCCATATACTAGTTACTGTATGTAGCATTCATGTAAATAATGTAAACATTTTTAGGCTCTTATACTAAGAGTCTCGACTCCTTTTTGATTATAAAAAAAATCTGTTATGGCATTCATGACAATATTAATAAAAAGTACAAATCCTTTTTTTCATTAATGTCCCGTTAACTGTATTTTATGAGTTAAGTGAAAAGCCTTTTCATCACATGACCAATGCATTCAGTGGCCACTTTATTAGGGACACTTGAACAAATGAATGCAGTCTTTTAAAAACCACTCAAGGTCCACTTACCAGCACTTTCTGGAGCTTTCTACCATATCGCATGTTTTTCATCAGCTGATGGAGTGTAATAAAGTGAACCTTATTTGTAGGCTAAGTTGATTCAGCTGTATGTTTATTTGTGTTGTACTGGTCATAATACCGGTGTTTTGTCCATTCATTTACATGAGGTGCAATATTGGAGTACAACCCTCAACATGCAGTCCTCCACCTCTAACGACCTCTATTCTGAACAGTTGGCTGTGTCAACAAAATAAAAAATCTATAAAGCTATAATTTGCTGAGCTGCTGTGTTGGATTGCATTACATTTTACAGGCGTACCAAATAAAGTGGCCACTGAGAATAAGTGTTTATAGTAATCTATATACTGCTTTAGAGCACCAAACCAGTGTCAAGTAAGTTTTATCCCCTTAAAAGCATGTCAGTGTTTTATACAAGCACTACATGTGTCACATCTTTACATTTGTCTTATAGCATAACGTTCATATGATATGGAACTCTGACCACTTAGACCGAACTACAAATGTTTAACTCATCACAGTGAACGTCACATCTGCAATAGTTTTTGTCAAACTGGGATTATTGGTGCGGGTGGATTTAAAAAGAATGATGCAGACTCAATAAGTCTGTTCACTGTGTTTAAGACACTTTTCATTGCTCTCAGAAATGAATGGAAATCAATAACAACCTGCAACAGTAGAAAAACTGCATTTCAAATATTTAACAAAATCATCTTTAATTTCTAAAACACATCCGGGTGATTATGAAACTGGTCCGCAATGTTCCTGCGTGCGTTCACATTTCTCAGTACTATTGTATCGGCCAATCATGAACGTGTATTGTCTGACGTGATCGCTCATAGTTATTGTATCTTCGTGCTTATTATTTCATCTCTCCTTTCTCACAAACCCCGTCTGCATCGGTGGAACTGGTTATCTGCGCGTCGTTTCTCAGCTGTTGCTTCAAACATGACCTCATCCACCCGAATCATTAGGAGCAAATAAGAATGGCATACCAGCAATCAAAAGCGACCTCTCCCCACTTCTCACAGCGTCTTCACAGGCGGAGCCGTCAGCTCCGAGTGGAAACCTCGGGACAAAAGTGAACATTAGCGGGAGAACATGGGTGTCTTGCCGGGGTGGGAAGATGTGATGGGTGAGGGGAGGGGGGCAGTCTATAGTGCCTTGGATGATTTAAAGCTCGATTATTTACTTTCTTATCTTTACCCTCTTTTAAAATTCACTTTCCCCGTTCCCCTCCTCCCCCCACGTCTCTCCACACAGAAAGCGGGTGGATGGCCCGTTCGTAATTGGCCGTGTCGGAGGCGCATTGTCCGAGGCTTTTCAGGCCGCAGGTGCATATAGTAAAGCCGGAGTCTCCGCTCCTCCCCCGGGCGTCTTTGTTCCCTCTCCCTGCTTCCCCCCACTCCCCCGCCGGGCAGAAAATTAGGGCTGCTTTTTGGGGCTTCGTCCTCTGGCTTAACCCTTTCACCGACCGCCGCCTTTCTCATGGAAATGGGAGAGAACCCCGCACCGGCTAATCGGTCACTGAGGGGAGGGGAGAGGAGGGGGGAGGAGGGGGAGAAGAGACGAGGGCAGCAGGATCAACCGGAGGAGGAGGAGAACGGAGAACAGATGTAAGGGGGGGGGGTGTAGCTTGTATCATGCAGCTTCTCAAACTATAAGTGAAAGTGATTTCACAGGTGATGGGATATGATACATTTTAGCTCATGTACAGTTAATTATGAAACTTCATGGACTGCTTTAGACTTTTATTTTACTAAATAAAAGTCCAACACAAATAAAAGTCCAAAAAGGAATAGTATAAAAGTCCAACTTTTAGTCCAACTCTTCCTTCCTGGTCCCCCAGAACCCCACCTGGAACTTCCTGAGTCTCTCAAGGATCCCTTGACCCTCATTAAGAACCTTTGGAACTACCTCAAGGGCTCAAGGGACCAAATTGACATAAAGCAGGGTTCTTTATGTCTACACGCCTGGTTAAATAATAGTAGGATGAAATAGATGAATTCATAAAACTTCAAAAGAATTTTAGTTTTGAACTTGGGAATATCGATGTAATCCAGCTCTCTTTTAACAAGTCAGTGAAAAGCTGAGCAAAGCCTCTATTGTGCACAGTTCATTTGATTCTGCTGCTGTGAAGCATTCTAGTATTTCAGACTGGAGATACGTGGATAGAAATTCTTCAACAAGTGAAAGTTTGATTAGCACCTTTTCACCTCTTTTTGGCGGCCGGCGTATTTGCAGGTTGAATTTGGCACAGTACCAAAGCAACGTCTCTTGCCCTGTAACCAGCGGAAGTTGGAGCATATATGTGGGTTGTTTTGGCTGTGGTCCATGGGCGGGGAGGGGATGGGGTAGGGAGAGTGGGTGGAGAAGGGGGTGGAGGGAGTGTCAATGGAAAGGATTTTCTGGTCCAATACATCCCATCACTTAGCAACGAGCAGTGAGGCTTCAACAAGTGGTTGCCATGGATCTGCAGAGAGTGACTTAAAAGTCTCCACAAAGAGCTGTAGTCAGCCTCTGTGTGTGTGTGTGTGTGTGTGTGTGTGTGTGTGTGTGTGTGTGCGTGTGTGTGTGTGTGTGTGTGTGTGTGTGTGTGTGTGTGTGTGTGTGTGCGTGTGTGTGAGTGTGAGAGAGTTTATGAGTGAGAATCAGGTGGTGGTTACCAACAGGGTTTTTTTTTTTTTTTTAAAGTGCGAGTCGGCATTTACTGGTGACACAATCTAGTTATAACCTCTATGTGTTTTTTACAAGCGCCTGGATTTGAGTCCCAGCTCGTCTCCTGCGAAGTTAATTTATGCTCGCTCACTGGCAGGTCAAGCTCTCATTCACTGGCTGCTGTTGTCTCTTTCTTCAATGAACATTCCAACAAGTAAGAGGAGGAATTAGGAATTATATCAGCACAAAAAGACAGGAATGAGTTTGGCAACACTGCTCCAGGAAATCACCACTTCAAAAGCAGTCATGGAAAAGCGGCCTGGATTTTTAATGTATATCCTGCAGCATTCCCGCAGGAGCCCAGACCCCAACTCTTATCTGCATGCACAGCAGGGCAAACACCGTCCTATGTACACACACATGCACGTAGACTTAGACATGTAAACACATGAACAGGAGAGGCAGAAGAGGATTAGACCTGCATGAAAAATGTATTTGAGTTCAGGCAACAGGTGAAAAATGTGTTTCACATTAAAGTCTAAATTCTGACTTTATTCTCATTATTCTGACTTAATCTCAAAATTCTGATTTTATTCTCAGAATCCCGACTTTATTGTCACAAATCTGACTTGACTTTAAATCTCAGAATTCTGACTTTATTTTCCCAATTCAGAATTCAATCTGATTTTATTTTTGAGAATTCTGACTTTATTCTCAGATTTCTGATTCAAACGCAGGATTCTGATTATATTTTCACAAATCTGACTTTAATCTCAGAACTCAAACTTTACACTCAGAACTCAAATACATTTTTAATGTGGCCCAAATCCTCTTCCGTAGTTTGAAGATCAGAATTGTATCAAAATTCTACTAAAAACTCCCTCTCATTAGATGCTAATGTCGAGCTGTACAAACGTTTGTATTGTATCCTCTTCATTCTCATGTGTACTGACACGGTCCTTACATTAACGCATCCCCTCACTGCCTGGGACCTACTGAAGTTAGAAACCATGGGGCTCCTGCACCCTTCCAATCCATCCTTTTTATACAACACAGTTAATCGGTGCTGAACAAAGCATGCAAGAGCTTCAGAGGAAAGAGCATTTAGATCTGCTCACAACTACGTTATAGTGCGTCATCAACCATTTATCAATCCTATATATACTGCTGATAAATACTAAATAGGGGCATAAAGAATAGTGTTACCCGAACCTGCCTTATAGAGACACATCTGGCCTCTATGACAGTTAAAGGACGGGTTGAAAAGTTTTTCAAGTCTGTCTTAAAACATTAGTCAGGTGCCCGTGTGAACATTGATACAGGTTTTGTTTCCTGTAATCCTTCCTCCTGTTCATACCGACGACCAAAAATCCCCACCAGTGTGATGAGGGACAACATTCACAGTTCTTGATACGTTTTAAGCTCACCAGAAGTTAACATGAGGCCTCAGCAGTCTGAGTTATTAACGATAATGATAAAAACAACAGCAATCGATTGACAAAAATAAACGTTATTTGTACAGCACCTTTCATACAACAAAAGCAAAACAAAATGCTTTATGATAAGGGAAAATAGACATAGAATGCAAAAAAACAGGGTAAATAAAATAAATATAAGAACAAATTGGCAGTCACAGCCTCTTTAGTACAACATTCCCTCTTTTTGTTTCTATGTTTCCACTGCAGCTCACCAGGAACACTGCCCGGGGGAAACTCAAAGTGTTTATTTTGTATGTAAGTACATTGAGAGCCATGGAAACCAGAGTGAAATCCCTTGTGTATGAAAAACACAATTGGCTAATAAAGATGACTCTAATAGTGGTTGTGATTCTAATGAACTATTAATATAAATGTGATATTAATCTAATCTTAAGTAGGGTTGTAACCGTAAACCCAGACCCTGAAGAACCGAAGGCTTTTGCACACCCAACATTCACACCCTCCTCCATACGGCCGGTTGGGACGAGCTCCGGCGTTGTTTGCCGACACGCAGGTGAATAGGTGGGCGTCTGCCGTTTCGACAGCTCTCCGCTTCACTTGTGATGAACGTCAGCCCATGAACACAAGATCTGCCGCATTTTTGAGCGTGCAAGCGGGTGGCACGCAATACCTGGGAGGGCACGCACACGCACACAGCGAGGCTGAGCGGGATAAAGGTGCGATAGGAATCATTGTTTTGTCTGAGAACTGCAGAGGTCACATACTCCATTAGGGGGGGGGGGACACACGTGTGCAAACAACAATCTTCTACTAAAACACATGTGTTTGGTTGGAGCATGCCTTCCACCACATAAAAAAAAACTTAATCAACGTTTACGAAAAGGCAACACACTTGCAGGACTCGAAGCGGAACCGTTTTTCAGAAACGGGAGTCTCTGAATCGGACGGACCACCATGACGGCCAGCAGGGCTGTCAGCAGATACAGGCCCCACCGCCACTAATAGAGGGAAGTGTTTGCTAAGCCATGAAAGACTTGACTGACAGGTAACCCTAATGAGGTATGTGTGTGCAGAAGGTGGGGAGAGGCACACCCTGAGGTGAGGAGAAAGGTGGATGTGTGGGAGGAGTGGCTGGAGGAAGGAGCGGCAAAGCTT